AACTATACCCTAGAACAAATGGACTTAACAGATATTTACAGAACATTCTGCCCAACAGCTTCAGAATATATGTTCTATTCATCAACACATAATACATTCTCCAAGATAGACTATATGATAGGCACAAAACAATTCTCAACAAATTTAAGAAAATCAAAATTATATCAAGTACTCTTTCAGATTACCATATAATAAAATTGGAAATCAACTTCAAAAGGAACCTTCAAAACCATGAAAGTACTTGGAAATTAAATAACCAGCTCCTAAATGAACATTGGGCCAACAATGAAAACAATATGAGAATTAAAACATTATTTGAATGGAATAATAATTACAAAACCAAGAACCTCTGGGATGCAGCAAAAGCAGTGCTAAGAGGAACATTCATAGCATTAAATGCCTACATCAAGACATCTGAAAGAGCATAAACAGACAGTCTAAGGTCATACCTCAAATAACTAGAGAAATAAGAACAAACCAAACCCAAATCCAGCAAAGAAAATAAATAACCAAGATCAGAGCAGAACTAAATGAAATTGAAAAAAAAAAATACAAAAAAAAGAAAAGCTAGTTCTTGAAAACATAAATAAAGCTGATAAACCATTAGTGAGATTAACCAAGAAAAAAGGAGAGAGGATCTAAATAATTTCAATTAGAAGTGAAACAGGTGGCATTACAACCAATACCAAAGAAAGTAAATAGATCATTTAAGGCTACTATGAACACCTTTACATGCATAAACTAGAAAGCCTAGAGGAGATGGACGAATTCCTGGAAATATGCAACCCTCTTAGATTAAACTAGGAAGAAATAGAAATTCTGAACAAACCAGTAACAATCTGCAAGATTGTAATAGAAATTTAAAAGTTACCAAAAATAAAAAGTCCAGGACCAGATGGATTCATAGCTGAAATCTATCAGATATTCAAAGATGAATTGGTACCAGTCCTACTGACAAAATTCCAAAAGACAGAGAAAGAGGGAATCTTCTCTAGATTATTCTATGAAGTCTGTGTCCCTAATACCAAAACCAGAATAGAATATAACAAAAAAACTACAGACCAATATACTTGATGAACATAGATATAAAAATCCTCAAAAAAATGCTAGCTAACAGTCCAACAGTTTATCAAAAAACAAATCCACCATGATCAAGTGGGTTTCATAGCAGGGATGTGGGGATGGTTTAACATACATGAGTCAATAAATGTGATACACCACATAAATGGAATGAAAAATCACATGATCATCTCAATAGGTGCAGAAAAAGTATTTGACAAAATTCAGCATCATGTTATTAAACCCTCAGCAAAATTGGCATAGAAGGGACATATTTTAAGGGACAGAGTTAACAGAAAATTCAGAGTGAGAGAAAATTATAGCAATCTATACTTCTGAAAGAGGACTAATATCCAGAATCTACAAGGAACTCAAATTAGGAAGAAAATAACAAACAATCCCATCAAAAAGTGGGCTAAGGACATGAATAGACAATACAAATGATATACAAATGGCCAACAAAAATATGAAAAAATATGCAATATCACTAATGATCAGGGAAATACAAATCAAAACTACAGTGTGATAGCACCTCACTCCTGCAAGAATGACCATAACAACAACCACAAAAAAAGATGTTGGCGTGGATTTGGTGAAAAGAGAAAATGTTTACACTGTTAGTGGGAATGGAAAGTAGTATATCCACTATGGAAAACAGTGTGGAGATTTCTTAAGGAACTTAAAGTAGATCCATCATCTGATACAGCAATCCCACTCCTGGGTATCTACCCAGAATAGAAGTCATTATATGAAAAAGACACTTGCACCCAAATGTTCACAGCAGCACAATTCACAACTGTAAAAATGTGGAACCAGTCCAAATGCCCATCAATCAATGAGTGGATAAAGAAAATGTGGTGTGCGTATATATATATGTGTGTGTGTGTTTATATACACATTTATATATTATGTATATATATATAATATGTAAATGTGTATGTGTGTGTATATATAAAACACAAATGTGATATATATATAAATGTGGTATATTTATAAATGTGGTGTATATGTATTTATGTATATACATGCACCATGTTTTCTGCATATATAATATATATAAATGTGTATAAATATGTGTGTGTATAATGGAATATGATTCAGCTATAAAAGGAATGAAATAATGACATTTGCAGCAACCTGTATGGAATTGGAGACCATTATTCTAAGTGAAGCAACTCAGGAATAGAAAAGCAAACATTCTATGTTCTTGCTCATAAATGGGAGCTAACCTATGGGGATGTGAAGTCGAAACAATGTTACAATGGACTTTGGGGACTCAGGGAAAAGGATGGAAGTAGGGAGGGATAAAAGACTATATGTTAGGTACATTGTACACTGCTCAGGTGATGGGTGCACCAAAATCTCAGAATTCACCACTAAATAACTTATTTATGAACACTTATTTATGAACTTATTAAAGAACACCACCTGTTCCCTAAAAACCTACTGAAATTAAAAAAAAATAAATTTAAAAACAAAATCAAATACCTTGGGGACAGAATTGGGAACAAAATCTAGTCTATGGCATGTGTTTATTTTTATGTAATTTTTATTACAGAATTGTAATTCTAAAGGCATTCTAATATTTGACTTTATAGGAACTATATAAAATTATTATATTTTATGTGAACTATATAAAATAGTTATGTTTTACATGAATTAATATAAAATAGCTATATTTTGTATAAATTTAAGAGCGCTTATAAAGTATTGAAATAGACATGAGTATTTTCTGATGCCCCACTACAGGGAAGTCAGGATTTTAATATTCTGGTAGTGTTTTCACAGTGGCAGGCTGCCTCAAATCAGAGATGAAATATCAGACTTGGAATCTCAGGCTTTGGGGGAATCAAGATGTCAGTGTTAAAATGCTCATCTTCTACCTCTCATGCTTCAATTATCACAAACAGGTTGAATTTAATGTCTGTAGGAGCACACATTTACTGAATTTTCTTCTAATGTACTTGCCAGAGAGATAACTGGAGAATATTAGGGATCCATTTTGAGACTCACTTTCTTCACCTGCATTCTAAAATTTAATCAGCCAACCTATCTGCTGAATTGATGTGGTGAAATTCAAGACTTGGGCCACTTGATTTTGACTTTTGGAGTCTCTGGGGGTAAGCAATGTTAGAAACAGATGAACTTTACTTGAATTTCTCTCTTACCTCCAGAAAAAAAACCTCAGTAAATAGAAATAGAATTTATGAAATGTGCTGAATAATGGTAAATGTGGATCAAACTACCACCTGCCAAGAAAAACCCTGTAATTAAATTAGTAGACGTGACAGAATTTGTTGAGCTTAAATTTAAGCAATTTCTGTGTGCTGAGTTTGCCGAACTCAGCACTCTGCTCGCACATCTTGCTTATTGGTCTTCGACCTGGGATGGTAGCATAAAAATTACCTCATCATTCAATTTGAAAAATCCGATTGACCTATCCATTTAGGTAGGATGACTTCTGCCTGAGAATTAACCATGGATGTCTCTTCTAAATAAGTTTTTACTGGGGTAGCACCTTTAACTCATATTTTTCATACCACATTTAATTTCAAGGTATTTTGATGGGGGCAAAAGGTTTCAGATCATATGTGTGACTAAATTTCTAAAAGGCTAAACATTGCCACAGGACTGTGACACTAGAGTTTCTAAGTGCAAAACAGAAATTATAGACTTACAATTTAAATATCTTCTCCTACAGCTCTGTATTTTATAATGGGTCAGGCTCTCTGTTGTGAATGGGTCCTGGCTCCACCTTGCCTAGTCAGTGTTATCGGTAATGGCCCAACATCCCTAACAACTTCCATACTGTGGAACACAATGGGGGCTATTGCATTGTCTAATAGGGGCAGCAGTATTGCTGACCTGGTTATCAACATTTATTGAAATTTGATTCATCAGTGGATATGTGGGCTGGTAAATGTAATAAAGCTGGCAGGACACAATCTAGGCAGCTAAAGAGAAGTCCATGGACATTCTACCTTCTCCATTGGTCTACACTGAAACTTGAACAGTAGCTAGCTAATGGTGAATATACTATTGATAATATTTCATAATTTAAGAGAGCTACAATTTTTTTTCAGTCTTTGGTGAGAAGGTTAGAATAGCCACATCTCCATCTCTTTTATTGAGTGCTTTCATTTCAGAGACTGAGTTCAAATGCAAACATGAAACTAGATTGACTACTTAGGCTGAGATAAGCTATCTTACATTTTGGGCAGAGATCTTCTAGGTAATCCATTAGTGTAATACCAGGAAATGCCTCTTGGGGTAGAACTTAGAAGGAACTTAAATCCACAGGCAATAAGGGAATGTAACTCAACTTCACTGTTCTCATCTGTGTCTAACAATCCAGATAAATACAGTTCCAATATGGCCATACAGTGGATCTTCCAAGACGGGGGCTGAACACAGGGCTTATCAATGTGGCACAAGCGTTTCCCTGGTTCTGACATGTCAGGGCAACCAAAAAGAGATAACTTCTCAATTTCCCACTACTACCTATCCCTCCTCACTGAGCAGGATAAAGGAAGAAGTAGATGTAATCAAAGCACTATTGGAAAGGTTGGAAATTTGTTAGGGTTTGACAGTGTAAATATGGCCATTCAATTCCCAAAATGTTTATGGTTTTTGTATATATGATATATATGTTATATATAGCTATATATGGTTTTGTGTACACATTATTTTACATATGTTATGTTACATTTATCTTATATGTTGTTTTCCCCCAACTTTTATAGATCACTTTTATCCAGGACTAGTAAGAAATACATGTATAAGAGGCCAGGCACAGTGATTTATGCCTGTAATCCGAGCATTTTGAGAGGCTGAGGCAGGCAGATCACTTGAGGTCAGGAAGTTGAGACCAGCCTGGCCAACATGGGGAAAATGTGTCTCTACTAAAAATACAAAAATTAGCCTGGTGTGGTGAGACATACCTTAATCCCAGCTACTCAGGAGGCTGAGGAAAGAGAATCACCTGAACCTGGGAGGCAGAGGTAGCAGTAAGCCAAGATCGCACATCACTCCAGCCTGAGTGACAGAGCAAGACTCTACTCTGTCTCGAAAAAAAAAGGAAAGAAAGAAGTAGGGGGGAGAGAGAGAGAGAGAGGAAAGAAGAAAGAAAGAGAAAAAATTATTAAAGAACAAGAAAGAAGTACCATGTACAGAGTATTATAGGGGAATATTATTATGTAATACTGTATAATGTTATAATACTGTAGTACTATATAGTATTATGGAAGAACAAGGGGGCATAAAAGCCTGAGTCTACACTGACCAACACCTTGACCTAGGATGAAATCATTTACCTACTGATATCTTACGGTCTCCATCTACTAAATATTTCAACTAGACAATAGCAGCAGCCATTGATACCTTTAAAAATAGGCAATTCTACATTTGTGGCTTTATTTTTCAACCAGCTCATTTTATTTCTTTCTTGGAGATATTAATCATAATTTTTTAAGAATGTATTTAATATTATTTATTTAAAAAGTAGACTTAAGCTACAGTCATCAAAACAGCATGATACTGGTACCAAAACAGATATAGACCAATGGAACAGAACAGAGGCCTCAGAAATAACGCCACACACCTAGAACCATCTGATCTTTGAGAAACCTTAAGAAAACAAGCAATGGGGAAAGGATTCCCTATTTAATGAATGGTGCTGGGAAAACTGCCTACCCATATGCAGAAAGCTAAAACTGGATCCCTTCCTTATATTAAAAAATTAACAAGATGAATTAAAGATTTAAACATAAGACCTAAAACCATAAAAACCCTAGAAGAAAACCTAGGCAATACCATTCAGGACATAGGCATAGGTAAGGACTTCATGAATAAAACACTGAAAGCAATGGGAACAAAAGCCAAAATTGACAAATGAGATCTAATTAAACTAAAGAGCTTCTGTACAGCAAAAGCAACTATCATTAGAGTGAACAGGCAACCTACAGAATGGGAGATAATTTTTGCAATCTACCCATCTGACAAAAGGCTAATATCCAGAATCTACAAATAACTTCAACAAATCTACAAGAAAAAAATAACCTCATCAAAAAGTGGGCAAAGTATATGAACAGACACTTTTCAAAAGGAGAAATTTATGCAGCCAACAAACATGAAAAAAAAGCTCATCATTACTGGTCATTAGAGAAATGTAAATTAAAACCACAATGAGATACCATCTCATGCCAGTTAGAATGGCAATCATTAAAAAGTCAGGAGACAACAGATACTGTAGAGAATGTGGAGAAATAGGAATGCTTTTACATTGTTGGTGGGAATGTAAATTAGTTCAACCATTGTGGAAGACAGTGTGGTAATACCTCAAGGATCTAGAAATAGAAATACCATTTAATCCAGCAATCCTATTATTGGATATATACCCAAAGGATTATAAATCATTTTGTTATAAAGACACAGGCACACATATGTTTACTGTAGCACTGTTCATGATAGCAAAGAATTGGAACAACCTAAATGCTCATCAATGATAGACTGGATAAAGAAAATGTGCACATATACACCATAGAATACTACACAGCCATAGAAAAGGATGAGTTCATGTCCTTTGCAGGGACATGGATGAAGCTGGAAACTATCATTCTCAGCAAACTGACACAAGAACAGAAAACCAAACACTGCATGTTCAACTCATAAGTGGGAGTTGAACAATGAGAACACATAGACACAGGGAGGGGAACATCACACACTGGGGCCTGTCAGAGCACTGGGGGCTAGGGGTGGGATAGCATTAGGAGAAATACCTAATATAGATGACAGGGTAATGGATGCAGCAAACCACCATGGCACATGTATACCTGTGTAACAAACCTGCATGTTCTACACATGTACCCCAGAACTTAAGGTATAATTTTTAAAAAAATAGCCTTAAGAAAAATTTTAAGAGCTTCTGCACAGCAAAGAAACCATCAACAGAGTAAACAATTTATGGAACAGGAGAAAAATTTTACAAACTATGCCTTCGAGAAAGAACAGTATCCAAAATCCATAAGGAATTTAGACAAATAAGAAAAAAAACCAACCTCATAGGCAGCAGACACAGATACTTCTCAAAAGAAGACATACAAGCAGCCAACAGACATGAAGCAAAATGCTCAACATCATTAATCATCAGAGACATGCAAATCAAAACCGCAAGGAGATACCATCTCACACCAGTCATGGTGATTATTATTAAAAAGTCAAAATATGCAGATGTTGGTGAAGTTGAAGATAAAAGGGAACACTTTCTACACTGTTAGAGGGAATGTAAATTAGTTCAGCTGCTGTGGAAAGCAGTCTGGAGATTTCTTAAAGAACTAAAAATAGAATTACCGTTTGACCCAGCCATCCCATTACTGGGTATATACCCAAAGGCAAATAAATCATTCTACCAAAAAGACGCATGTATTCATGTAGTCATTGCAGCACTGTTTACAACAGAAAAGATATGGAATCAACAGAGGTGCCCATCAGTGGTGGACTGGATAAAGAAAATTGTGCTGCATATACAGCATAGAATTCTAAGCAGCCATAAAAAGTAAAATCATGTTCTTTGCAGCAATGTGGATGCAGCTGAAGGTCACCATCCTAAGTGAATTAATACAGAAACAGAAAAACCAAATGTTGTATGTTCTCACTTATAAGTGGGACTCAATCACTGGGTACACACAGACACAGATTGGAACAATAGACACCAGAGGTTCCAAAAGAGGGAGCCAAAGTTTGAAAATCTACCTATCAAGTACTGTGTTTGCAACTTGGGTGGACAGATTATTAGAAGCCCAAACCTCAGCATCATGCAGTAAATGCATATAACATGTAATCCCTGAATCTAAAAATATGAATGGAAAAAACAGTACAGCAGCAATAAATACTATAATGTGCTACCCAGATTCTCCTTCAGGAATAAAGTTCATATTGTCACAGCTGCTGAGTGTGCCACTGGCATCCAGACCTCAGCTATCAGCCTTCTGCAGAATTGTCTCTGCTGAGGAGAGCTATCTTTCCCAAGGTCATAACTCCTGGACAAGAATATAAAGGCTCTGCCTCCTCCCTTAATTCTTAAAAACTGTTAAGGACCGTCCTTGATTCAATATTCCCCATGTGGTTGGCTAAAGGCCTTAATTGTAACTGCATCACAGCCGAACATCTTCCTCTGCCAAATCCTGCCTTTTTCTCCCTTTCTATGGGTAGATTCTTCTCCATGTTCACATTCATCTTAGCCTGCTTCACTGATTGCCCAACTTGCAACAGAAAGTGGTAAAATCTCTGCTTTTTTATTGGTGTATGCACTACTCATCTAAGGTTCTAGACAGTATTCTTTCTCATTTCCAATAATAAAATTCCTCTGATTGCTATGGGGGAGTATTTTTATGTGGATTTTATAGTCTTTTATGCAACATAAACCCAAGTAAAATATCTGTCTACACTTTGTAGATTCATTAAATGCATTGACTACTCAAGGAAATTGAGCTTCTTATTTATGGTTTCCTTCAATAAATGTAGTTTTAAAAATTCCTTGTTTGTGAATAATTCAAGTTCACCAAAAGGAGTTTGATGATGGGTTACTTAAATAGACATTGAACATTGTGGAGAGATGGTATTAATTGCTAAATGTTTTAGCCATTCTATGAAATTTCTTTATTCATGTAAATAGCATGTTTTTTTTAATCTCGAAAAAGTGAATTCTAGCCTGGGAAACATCTTGAAACCTTGTCTTGACAAATAATAGAAAAATTAGCTGAGCATTGTGGAGACCCTGTCATCCCAGCTACTTGAGGGGTTAAGGTGGAAAGATCACTTTCACACAGGAGGTTGAGGCTACAGTGGGCTGTATTTGCACCACGGCACTTCAGGCTGGGTGACCAAGTGAGAGACCCTGTCTCAAAAAAATAAATTGCAGCTGGGAGCGGTGGCTCACGCCTATAATCCCAGCACTTTGGGAGGCTGAGGTGGGTGGATCACGAGGTTAAGAGATCAAGACCATCGTGGTCAACAAGGTGAAACCCCGTCTCTACTAAAAATACAAACATTAGCTGGGCATGGTGGTGCACGCCTGTAGTCCCAGCTACTCGGGAGGCTGAGGCAGGAGAACTGCTTGAACCCAGGAGGCGGAGGTTGCAGTGAGCCAAGATCGTGCCATTGCATTCTAGCCTGGGTAACAAGGTGAAACTCCATCTCAAAAAATAATAATAAATAAATAAATTGTGTTATTAAAAAGAAACTATTTCACTATTTTTATTCTAGAAAGAAGATCTGAAAGAAGGAGAATGATGGACATTCTTGAATAACATTGGCTTACAGTATTCAACATTAAGTGAAAAGTGCACAAACAAGAACTGCAAAAAGATGGTCTCTAAACAGAAGGCATGATTTCTCATTGAAAGTCTCTAAAAAACACTTTAGGGATGACTTAGCTCAACGGTATCCCAATATGAGAAAAGGAAAAAAAATGGACAATTGGGACTCTCATTGTGAAAACATCAGGCAAATATTTCTATAAATAATATTTAGCTATTTTAATTTTATATAACAAAAATACAAATTTAGTATCAATTATCTAAACTAGGGATGGGGTAATTTTCTTTTAATGCAAACATTAATATTGAGGCAGCTCACCCAGAAACCTTACTTCTGAAAGTCTGATATAATCTTTTGTTATCAGATGTACTTATCTCAGTGGTCAAGGAAACAGGGCAGTTGGACCCAGTTAGAAATTGATGAATTACAGGGAAACATAAGGATCATATAAGCATAAACAAGACCGACTTCATGGCCCACCTGTATTACTTTGTTGCAGTGAAATTTTGCATAGAAAATATGTTGTCCTGTATCACATTCCTAGGCTTCAGGAGCTCATGAATATGTATTATGAACCAAATGAAGAAATAAATCATCTGAACATAAAAAGATAATGGAAACTAATATGCATTGCTTATCTGGCACAGTTCTAGATACTCTTCCCTTAATTAATATCCATAGAACCCATAAAAGGCTTAAATTATTGAGCATGTTTTGCAAAGAAATTAGCAACTTAGCCAACAT